TCCCAAGAGGCCCACAAACTACCCCCACGAGGCCCCCAAGAGCGCTTGTCGTCGTCGTCGTCGTCGCCATTCAGGGTCGGCGGCACCGGCCGTAAGGCCTTCGCAATACACACAGATAAAAATATGCCCCGCATTTTCCCATATCTTCTGGGTTTTTGTCTTCCCCCCCACTTCCCAATGTTCCCATATGTTCTGGGGGATCGACGATGAATTGTGTCTGTGTGTTTTTTCCCTCCTGACTTTGTGCCGCGAGGGGCCACGGCCCCAGCCACACGGGCCGGCGGCACCCGCAGAAGAGATCGGGGGCGCGCGGGGGCCCGGCCTGCCGAGAAGGCAGGGCGAGGAGGGGGTAAGACGCAGCCAGGACGAGGATACATTCGGGTGAGGAGGCCAGGACGAGCCAGGACGAGCCCAGACGAACCAGGACGAGGAGGAGGAGGAGGAGGATCAGGACAGGTGAGGATGCATTCGGGCAAGACGAAGCCAGGACAAGCCAGGACGAAGCCAGGACGAGGACGAGGCCACCTGGACGGGGTCCGAGCAGATGGGGTCGAAAGATCGCGCCGCATCGCGAATGCGTCGCCGATGTATCGGCGACGTCGGCGACGCATCCGCGACGTCGGCGTGGGGAAACTCGGGCTCCACCTCGAGCCGCATCGTCAATGCATCGGCGATGCGGCGCGATCCTCCGACTCCATCTACTCGGACCCCATCTAGGAGGGCTAGATACATCGTGAATCTCCGAGATCCGGCGGCTCTGGAGGATGTCCTGGGCGCTGCGGCCTTCTCAGCGCGTTCCGGCACTTTCTGAGATCGTTCCGTAAAGCTCTTGAACGAATTGATCCTCGCCCTATCGGGGGCAGCCAAGAGGGGGGCGTCCAAGAGGGGAGTGCGCAAATCATGGTCGGCGGCATGTGCGCGGCCCAGGGGGGTGGACCAGGGACGTAACGAAGCAAGAAGAGGCGACATGAGATCTGAGGAAATCTCATGGCCCACGCCATGATATCCACCCACCCCTGGTCATCACCCCCCTCTTTGCCGCCCCCGATCCTGATCCCGTGCGACGGGGCTCCGAGAAGGCCGGGGGGCTTCCGCCAACATGGATATACCCATAGCGAAGGACATCCGAGGTGGAGGGGACAATCATGCACAGAACGCACAAGGACAACTCTCTCCAAAGTGTCGAAGTTTCGGGGGGATCTACTGCCCAGGGTCAATCCAGGCCCTGGTCAGTCAGAATCCTGCAAGATCCTGCAGGATCCTGCGCCATAACCCGTTAGGAGGCAACTACTGGGAGGTCTTCGTCGAAAGGATTGAGGAGGATTATGCCACATTGGGGGGCTGGTACGCCAGAGTGGGCTTCGGATTAAGCCGGATTAAGCGGGATTAAGCCGGATTAAGCGGGATGAAGCCGGATTACGCCGAATTTCGGACCAGGGCAAAATCGAAATCTGACCTCCCAGGACTTGCCTCCGAAAACCCGGGTCAATGTACCCCTGGCTCTGCAGGATCCTGCAGGCTCGGGCGCTCCGACTGACCCCCGCTTGCAGAGACCCCCATCTTTTGAGCCCCGAAGGCTGTGCTTGACACGAGTGCCGGCTGTACGCCGCTGACGTCTGAGCTGCTCCTGGCCGCGCAGACCCCTGGAGCCGAGAAAAGCCCAGAAATCGCTCGTTGACCAGAAACGGAAACTCTTCCCCCACAGGCCCCCCGCATGTCGTACATTGTTGTTGTGTCTGTGTTGTACACGTGAATGTGTTCTCCATGCGTGCATCAGGCCAGCGCTCAGTTTGTACGCTTGCCCGCTCCTGGCCTCGAGCCAATGCTCGTGTGCCCAACGATGGCGTCGGGTGGCTTACACCCCACGGCCGCGCACTGGCCTCCTCCGTCGCCCATCTCTCTTCTGCACTGTTCGGCGGTGGACATTAGTAAACCTCCCCTTAGTGAAAACGGCCTGGGACCCAAACCGACGGACCTGGACCCGCAAAAACGACGGCCGCGACGCCCCCTCGCGAACCGAAAACGGCCAATTCCTTAATCGACGTGTCAGGGTAGGAGGTCTGTCCACCTCCGATCCCATCTCTCTTCTGCCCTGTCCTCCTCGTCTTCACATCTCTCCTCCGCCACCGTGCGCACAGTTGCGTGTGGCATGGCCAGCCCGGAGCGCAGAAGCTGCCGCCGGCGGGTGCCTCGCTTGCCTCCTCGCCGTCGTCGAGTCCATCCTTTTCTTGCGCAGGCTGCCGAGCGTCGAGTCCATCCTCTCGCTCCTCTCCGTCTCTCAACCTCGCCTTCCTTCAGGTCTGGCGGGTCCACCTACAGGCGGATTGTGGCGAGAAATAAAACATACTCAACATGCACATAGATACTCGAACCATCGTCCCCATTCAATTTGTTCAATATTTTTGAACTTTCCTCCCGCAGAGGCACAGGCCCGACTTGAGCCTTCCTCCTGCCTGCACTCCGCCGTGGCCCGACGCGCGCTCCCACGAGAAGGAGGAGGAGGAGGAGGAGGGAGGGGGAGGGAGGGGGAGGACGAGGGGGAGGAGGAGGAGGAGGAGGAGGAAGAGGAGGAGGAGGAGGAGGAGGAGGAAGAGGAGGAGGAGGAGGAGGAGGAGGAGGAGGAGGGCGAGGGCGGCCGGCAGCGACCATCCGCAGGTCTGCTCCCCCCGTCTGCACTGCCCCCCGCCCTCAAGGCTCCCGATCGAGGCCGCCGTGCTTCCAGCCTCACGCCCATCGGAGCTGGCCCCGCGTCGTCCCCACACAGGCCGTCTCGACGTATCTTGCATGTCGGGTATATGTCGCCGTGGCGATCCCTGGAGGCCTTCGGAACCCTCCAGGAACCTCCGGAGACCTCCAGGGGGACCTGCATGACCTGCATGACCTCCTTGCGATCCAGCACGATCTCGCTCGCCGCCCGCTCTCCCGCCAGGCAGCTCCGGGGCCCTCGCGGCGGCCTGTGGGGCCGGGCACGGCCGCTGACCTGAAGAGAGGCGCGGGACGGCCGCATGCCGCCCCGTGACAGCCCCGGGGCGGCACGCCTGCAGAGCAGTCCACGGGTGGTCTCGAGACGACAGGATTCCGCCCCAAGCAGCGGGCACGCCTCCAGGACGGGCCAACCATTCCGACCGAGCCCCCGACCGAACCCAGGAGGCCCATCAACTGCAAGAGGTCCTGGACTCGCCCCTCCTCTTACACCGAGCAGGTGGCCCGACAGGGAGAAGTGTGCACATCGAGGAGTTCCACAAGAGAGATACAGATAGGCGACCGAGCGCTCTCTGTCGCTGCTCATCGACCATGTGCGTTGCAGCAACGCTGGCCAGCGTGAAGCGGGCGTATTGCCCGCGAGCCGAGAAACAAAATCACGGAACGCAGCGCTCGAACAAGCACGAGACCAGTTACTTGTGCGCACTCCAGAAAAAAGGGAAAAAGGGCGTGGAGAATTGGAGAATGGATCCACCTCCTTCTCCTACTCCTCCTTCCATCCCTCCTCATACTCCTCCACCTCATCATTATCCTCCTCTCCCCCGTCTCCTCCCTCCCTCCTCCCTCCCTCCATTCCTCCCTCTTCCTCCTCCTCCTCCTCCTCCTCCTCCTCCTCCTCCTCCTCCTCCTCCTCCCTCCAATTGCCTCGCTCGTGCTGCCCTCGCCCGCCCTCTACACCCCCCAAGCGCTCCCCTGAAGCGCGCCTTAGTGCCCTCGTCGAACGGGTTGGCGAAGAAGAAGCCGCGCCCGACACGGGAAGGCCGCCTCCACGCCGGGGGTGGAGCCAAGGGCCTCTCGCCGCCGCCGCCCTAAGCGACTCCGGCTCCACCACCTTCCTCGTCCCCGAGATTCTAATTCTAATTCTATCTAAAGCGTCATCCTCCTCTAGGGAGGTCGCTTAAACACCAAATCACACATCAGGGAAACGGGAGCCCGACTTCGGGGGAAGCCCGCGGGCGATCCTCGAAAGAACCACCTTCCCAGTGGCTGAGGGCCGATCACAGGCCCTGCTCAGGATGCGAGGGGGGTTCACTGTGCAAAAACCACCACAAACCTCGCAATACAAAACACCACGAAACACGGCCAACCGGTGCGTGGGTGAACAAAACTCAGACATTGGGTGGTCCAGGGGTGTTCCACACCCCTGAACAGCAGAAAGGTCATCAGGAGACGGATCTTCCACCCCTGAGATCGGTGCGACACGAGGAGGAAGACACTGAATCCGCTGCTGCAGTTCGCAGCGAGGCTTGCATGGATCGGGCCAGAAATCCGCCAGTTTCCCTTTCAAAGGAAAGCCCCGCGCACACCGAAAACACTTGAGAGACGCTGAGCGAACCTCAGGAGAATGCCCACTATCCCGCAAACGACACAGCCTCACAAAAAAACTGGTCTGCTGCCCGCGCTGCCGCCTAGGAACCCTCTCCGAGGTCTCACGATCTCCCGAGAAAAGCACTTCACGCTGGACCGCCAACAACCGCGAAACCACATCAAACGCCAGTTTGTCAGCCCGTCGGGTTCGGTCCACTAAATCCTCGGGGATCTGGGCCCTGTCAGCAGCAGCATCGGCAAAGAAATCAGCAGCCTGGTTCAAATAGACTTCTACGTCACTCATAAACATTTTTTGGCGTTGGGCCTGGGAAGAATGAGATTTCGTCCACAACACTTGGATCGATCCCCCTCTAGCATACATAACATCATGAAACTGCACCCACAGATCCAACATAGACGACCCACGTTTATCACGTAATGGACGACGCGACCCTTGAACACCACGCAAATAATCACAGTACACGCGACAGTGCCCCGTAGTACGACGAGCAAGCATGATAAGAGCAAACAACTCTGCACGAGGAGAGGACTGCTTCTTGGTAGGGAGGGTGCCCATGAGGAGGGAGTCGAAGAGGCCAGATGGACCTAAGTGCGATGGATATCTCGGAGCTGCCGGAGGAGGGTCCTCACTGGAGGGGGACGCGATGGATATCTCGGAGCTGCCGGAGGAGGGTCCTCACTGGATGGGGAGGAGGGGGGGAGGAGGAGGAGGAGGAGGAGGAGGAGGAGGAGGAGGAGGAGGAAGAGGAGGAGGGTCCTCACTGGAGGGGGAGCAGGGGGGGGAGGAGGAGGAGGAGGAGGAGGTTTGTTGTGGAGCGACCTAAAGTCGAAGAAAAAACTTAGAAGACCTCCCCCTCCGAATCCGAGGCATCCTCATCCTCGGGATCCTGGGCGGGTCGGGGAGCCGCCTCGCCTAGCGACCTGGCCATGTCGAGGTCGCTCTCCTGGAGGCCGTATGCATCGAGCACGGCCTGGCGGCAAGCGTAGCCGAGCCTGGGCCGACGGCCCGCCTGACCTGCGGCAGGAGAAGGCGAGGCAAGGCAACGAACACTCATGAGGCCCCTCTCAGCCTCCGAGAGCCCTCGAGGCTGGGACACAACCAAATTCTTGGACGAGGCCCTTCCGTGGGGGTGCCTGCCGTCCCGAATTCTCTTCAGCTGGTGTTTGACCTGAGCGGAGCGAGGCCTGTGGTTGCACCCTGCCGCTAGCAGGTCGCCTGGCCTATAGTCCTCGCAATAGGCCCCGCATTCCACACAGAACACGATAGGCACACCAGCACGGGCGGGACTCTCGATGACACAGCACATGAGAGCGTGGCCCTGCAGAAAGAAGGCTGAGGTGGCCATGTCGGCCCAGTCTAAGCAGCCCGTCCCTCCCGACCCAACGTCCACCCCCTCCCCGCCCACAGACTCTTCAATCTCTGGCCCAGGCTGAGGCGGCAACTCGTGAGCATCGGGAGCACTCTTTTCCGAAGCTGCGAGGCCGACTGTGTCCAAACGCTTTTCTGCCTGGCCTTGCAGGTGGGCCTCTAACTGGGCAGCCCACTTGGCCGACTCTTTCACAAGACACTTGAGACCTCTGTACAAGTCAACGTCCTGCTGGCAAATCTGGTGCTTAGCAGCGCCCATCTTTGCATAGGAGTCTACCGAGTCATTGGCTCGCTTCTCCCACAGGGTCGTCTTGCCACTGTGGACGGCCGACGTCGCGCAGCGAGCTGCCGTCTTAAATGCCGCGAAGTCCCCTGGGGAAAAACTGGACCAGAAGGGAGCCCACAGGTGGGCCCTGGGCCCTCCAGCCGAGGCCCCCGCCCCTTGGCCGCCCCAGAGGACATCCAGAGTTCCCTGGCAGCCACAGTATAAACCAATCGGCGCCATCGCACACTGAACCAGCATGTATACTGCATAATCTTCCCCATCCTTGGCCGTTTGGCGAGGCGCATGGGGGGGCGGGACGGGTCCGAAAACAAGCCGAGATGACATTGCCCAGGGGGTCGGCCTGGACTAAGGCCCAACCAGCCCTCGAAAGCCCAAGAGCCCCTGGCCAAGAAGCGGACCCATCCGAAAAAAATAAACCACTGAGGCGGCCTGTCTCAGGCCGATGATTCCAGAACACAGTCTGTTCTGGCTCCTGGGCAGGGAAGAGCGCCAGCGGCGACGGAAAGATCGCGCGCGCGAATCTCTCAGCCAGCTCCCCACCTCCCTCGAGCACGCGGGCCGCGCGTCTGGCTAGCTGCGGCGAGACCATGTCCCTCCTGAGCACAGCGTGAGCCGAGCAGCGAAATTGTCTGTGGAAAAGGGTCCCCGCTTCCTCCTGACACAGCCTGCACTTGCCGCAGCTGTGATACCCATGCCTGTGCACTCTAGCTTGAGGCCAGTGCACATTACTCATTAGGCCCCTGAGGGCCCTCTGATGCTGGGGCTTCCAAGAAGAGGAGGAGGAGCGAAGGAGGGGCCTCACAGCATCCCAGAAAAGAGGGTACCCTTGGAGCTCGACACATATCTGCATCAACGCCTGTCTGTCCGACGCTCTGACTGCCGCCGCGCGGACCTGCAACCGAAACCCCACAGGCGCGATCTGAGAGAGATTCCAGACCCGCCCGAGGTCAGTTTCGACCGTACGAAAATCTCTAAACGCCCAGCCCACACAAGCAAGACTGAGCACTGCCACATCCGCAGGTGTCGCAGCTCCCCGCCATGGGTGCCTTTTCGAATTGGCTCGGCCCATGGCCGCGTCGGCCGTCGCATTCAAAATCGAAACCTTGGGAAAACTGTCCCAGACCGCAGTGGCCCATTGAAAGGCCACATGGCCTACATAGGCCACGAACGGGTCGACGATTTCTCCCAGACGAAACGAATGCAGCCGAATTCCCAGGGGGGGCCCCTTTGGGATGACGTCCTAGAGCGCGAGCCGCCGACAGCCTTAGGCCATGCATGGCTGTCGGCGATGTTTGCAAGACACTACTGCCCCAGAGGGCCGATGCCGTGGCCCCCATTCTCTGTACAAGAGCCACATCTGCCCCAGCCTCCCTCAGCAAACGAAGCCGCTTCGAGCGCGAACCTGCATCGATGAACCTCGCTCTCTGCACTCCCACACGTCGTCGTGAGCCCGTCGTCGCATCCGTGCCGAGGTTGCGCGCGTGCTCGACCCGAGACGTACCAGGCAAGCACCAGGAGCCCACAACATGGGTCTGAACCTCTTGAGTGCACAAGTACGTCGTTTTCTTGGTGTTCACAAGCAAGTGGAGCTCCTCAAAGCAAGAAAAGAGCTGAGCGACTGCACTCGATAGCACCTGAGCTACCTGAGCTGGCCGACCACACGCCTGGAATGCCACGTCGTCTACAACGATGCGGATGAATACATTCGGCCTACCTTGCTGTGTGAGAAGAAGCGGACGGAGCAACAGTAACTTAGCCAGTGTCGTCGCTCCTGAACATCCAGCCACCACAGCTGCATTCGCCAAGTAGGCCGACGATACGGCACCTCCATACATCAGAGCTTTATATCCAGCATAGCTAGTACAGTACCCTCTGAGGACCTTGATGGGGAAACCATACTGGAGCCCCGCAGCTCTGAGATCCAGGTGCCTAATGTGTTCATAGACGCGGCTCAAGTCGACCAAGACAGATCCACTCTGAAACCCAACTTCCCTGCAAAAGCCTCACAAGAGATTGTGGACCCAGCCAGCTCTCTCACAGGTATTGTGTGGCCCCGAGCCCCAATAAAAGGCCTCTGCATGCTTCTGCCCCCATGCCTGACGGTGTGGCTGGCGGAGTCGCGACCACAAGCGCAGCACCAGGCAGAGGAGGCCGATGGGGCGCACGCCGCCGTCGGGCTTGTCTAAGAAGACCATGATGGTCAAGAAGACGAGAAGATCCTGTGGTCTGTCCTCAAACCTGTGCAGAATATCTAAAAGCCTTAGCTGGTGTTCTTCCGTGAGGCTCAGCACCCATCTTGGGTGAAAACCATCCCGCCCCAAGCCTGCGCCAGGAGCATACTTACGACAAACCCTCAGAAGCCGATCCAGGGCAAGAGGTTCCAATTGGGCTTCATCAGCGGGGACAGACCACTGGGATGGGTGCTCATCCTGCCTATCAGCTACACGCCACAGCGGCACCCATTGGTCTAGAAGAGCCGACCGTGCTCCAGCACCTACTTGAGGACGCCCTCGGCGTCGAGAAGAGAAGTGACGTTGGACGCCTTCTGCTTAGCAAACTTATGAGCTGCCTTCCCTCCTCCTTTGACACTCTCAACCGCCCAGGTCCTCCACTCCTTCAGTGATGCCTTTGAGTCCTCCCGTCTCCTTCTGTCCACCTCCTCGTCCATCTTATGCAGGGCATCGTGGACAGGCTCATCGCCCGTGGCGATGACATCAGCGAAGGTGCACAAAAAACTGGGCGAGGCTCGGCGTTAGCAGCGAACGGGCCCATGTCGGCGAC